TTGGTCTCCCAGCCCAATACAGATGAGGGCCGATCCTGCTTAACCATCGAGATCTGATGGGATCAGGCTAGCCTGGGCTATTCCAGGCCAGGGCTCGGGCAGACTTATTCGTCTCAAGGGGGAAGGAAGCAAACATAGACCGAGTCACGGTTTTGATATACACTGAGAATTTTTCACTGTTGAATTCTTCACTGTTGAAGTGTTAACTTGTGCTCTTGACATGATCAGATGTTTACCGCTTTATCAACACTGCTTGATGTTGACGTTAACTTGTATCTCATCACTTTTATCTATTTATTGTCATTACTTATATTTGTGGATATTAACACATTTTGGAATTAAAAAGAAAAAAGTGTCAGGAGGTGGGTGCCCACCCCCTCCTGACTATGCCAAAAGTACCAGAAATAGACCCAGAAGATCTTACCGAGGCCAAACAGCCAGTCGTAGGCTATTCCCAGGAGGCCCAGGGATCATGTCTAGTGGCTCTCAGAGAGGGGACGTCTCCAAGAAGGGAGGAGGGAAAGGGCGTGGAACCACCTGGCCAGGAAGACAGGGTTCCGATCGATGGCGACAAGGTTGGGGGGTGGAATACAAAGAACAGAATCCCGTGGATCCCCGCATGGTTGCGCGGTTACTTTAAGAGGGTGGTGGTGGGTGAAACAGGTGGGGAAGTTGAACAAATAAAAGAACCACACAGGGGAAACCGAGGAGGAATGTGGAGAGTTCACGGCAGCAAACAGAGAGGAGGGAGCAGGATCCACTCGGACTCGTCTAGTAAAGCTCTCCTGGGTGTGGCTCGTAAATAAAATAACTAGCCTGTAGCCCATTCTGAGGTAAAACCTGGGTTTGCGTTCATTCTCCCACCCTGGATTCTACTCACGGCCGTCCTCCAACCCTTGCGACATCGGAGCTTGACAAGAAGTTTATTTAAAACGTATCAGGCTAGCTGGTGGGTTATTCGGTTCTAGAAATAAATGCATTTGTCAGGCCCTGACAACTGCAGTTGCTAGTTCTGGGAGGAGGAGGCATTTGGTGGACTGCAATACTGGAAGTTATTTTAGCTGTGATGGGATGTAGGACGGCAAGGTATGGGGGGGCTTCACATTCACCCCCCCCAACGAGCTTCTTTTGTTAAGATCACACACACACTCTTCTGGTTTCTGTACAACTGCAGGAGAAACACACCCAGTTCTGTGGCCAATCCTGTCCAGTGCTGACCGATCCTTCCACACCCAAGCCTGCAGCAAGAGCGGCAACTGACCACCCAGCACTCCCCCCCTCGGTTCACTCAGTACCCTGGACAGATACCACAGAGTTCTTGCAGTGTTACTGATAACGCTTTGAGTTCTCTCAGCGTTAGATAACTCTTTGTGTGTTCACGTCATCCGCCGGCATTCTAATGTTTCAAGACCCCTCTCCCCCTAGTGACCTGTGCTCTGCTTCCCAAGGAATTTAAATTATGGGTGTGCAAGCGTAACGTGAGATTCTTCAGTGTGAGAAACCCATCTTCACGTCACCCGAGTGGAGCAGTTGCGATCATACGTCTCGGAGGTACACTGCCCTCTGCTGAAATATGTCAGGAACTAGCAGGGTTTCCCTAAAAGTTAGCTAATATCAGCAATAAACCCAGAAGGAGCCAAGAACGTCCTCCTCCAAAGGCCAAATACACCTTTTGGTGTAATGCGCCAGTATCACGTTACCCTGGGGAAGCCTCAAACGCAAGCAGAACAGTTTCGCTATCAATAGACATCTTGGAGGGAATAAAGATGGAATAAAGAGAAAAGAGCCAATGTGGTTGTGAAAACCACAAGCCCGCTAACCCCAGCGCTGCAGCAGAGTATCTGAGCGCTTCCAAGCAGAAAATACAACCTAACAGTTGCACTGCTTTGCTTATCCATGATGGGATTCCGAAAAGTGATGCTTTGATTTGCATTAATCCATTCATTGCAGCTGACAGCGCTGGCGTGAAGCCACCAAAGAAGCAGGGAGTGAGAAGAGAGAGAAAAAGAACCCCGGCTTTAGCAGGCCCATTAAAAACCTTGCTCGGTTTAATGTTGTGGAATCAACATCTCATTACCGCTTGCACTGTCTTGCTAAAAGCCTCTCCTTTCTTGCTAATGTGATTAGAGCTTCCAGTGTGAGTTTGAAGCTTAACATATTCCAAAGGAGCCCAGTCCACCGACTCACAGCGGCGAAATCAACAATCCAGCCAGTTAGGACTCCTTGGCAAAATACACGCCTCCCCCCCCTCCTCCCGGCCAAGGGGATAGAATGACAGGCCCATGAAGGAAGAGGACTTAAGCCAGCTGAGGGTGGGCTTTGTGGCCCCCCTGCCGGCACTAGCCCCAGAAGAGCACAGAAGTGGAGTTCAGCATGCCTGCTTAAGCAGAAGACAATGGCAATCCGGTTAATGAACAACTCGGGAATGGGTTCTTCCCACAGGCCGGTCAGACCCACCCGGGGACAGGTCTGGAAAGCCCCTCCACCTTTATTCCACAACCGCCATTCTAGCAGCAAATGTCAAGGCATGATTTAGGCACTCGCACGGCAGCAAAGAGAAGATACAGCCGGGAAAGCGATATGTTTGAATCTCTGTGGGGATTAACGGCAGATACAGACCATCGGGGACAGCCATAGGCAGAGATTAGTACAATGAGAGGCCAAACTGGCTATTGTTAGGAACTGCCTCTGTAACCAGAAATTCACACCCATTTAAGGGAGGGGGGAGAGAGATTAACCCCCCCACCAGTGTGATTATAGCCCGTGAAGCTGCCTTTACACACCCCGCCTTTGTGACTCCTTTGTCACTGGAAGGAAAAATCAAAAAAGTGCGACTGACTTATTTTGGCCATGTCATGTGGAGGAACGCAAAAGAAAAAGCAATTATGCTTGGACTGGTCAGCAGCAAAAGGAAACCGTGCCGCCAAAGAGCACGGTGGCTAGACACCATAAAAGTCAACACCAGCCTGACCATGGAACGACTCAAAGAAACAGCACAAGTTAGGAAAACGTGGAGAGAGCTGGCCCATAGAATCGCCAAGAGTCGGACACGACCGAATGGCTAACAACAACCACCACCTTTATGACAGAAGCAGAGCGGATCTGGCAGCCTCAACTGTATTCTAGGAACAACCTGAGGTTTCAGTGACAAGAGAAACCAAGCCAATGAGAGGTGCATGTCTGGGAATCACCCGTCCTCTGTTACTGCATGCCATCAGTCTCATTTGAAGCCTGGCTCCTGAAGTTGTCTTCCAAATTCTAAAAACTGAGAGTTTAATCTTGCAAACCCAGCGCTATTCTGCCTGTTATTTACTGCACTCTGGAACCGATCCCCCATTTCAGAGTGCGAGGACTACATACAAGTTTCCTCCTAAATATTTTTTTTAATTATGCATGCAGAAGAACATCAAGGGAAGAGTAAGCGACGTTTCCTACATACAAGAACTTGATAGCGACGTTTCCTACATACAAGAACTTCTTAAAGGTAACTCCTCTATCAGACAGAAGGGATACAGTCCAGAATCCTATAGCTTCCAGTAGAAAGGACTCTCACAGTATACTCGAAATTATTTATGCTCAAGAGCTTGTCATGGTCCCCAAAAACAGTTCTTTGGGAAAGTGCCAGATCTGACATTATTTTTTACGGCTCTTTCCTGCCATGTTTAAAACATTGCTTAAAATTACATGTTTCACTGGGACAACTTGCAAGCCGGACACAGAATAAATAGAGTGGACACAACCGATGGGAAGACTAAAAGGATAGCTTATTACAATAACTCAGGGGTCATTTCCTGCAGGAGTGCACAGGAGCGGAGCTCCGGCAGTAAAGAGCCCAGGAGGCGGGCACATGCAACAAGCCCCACCCCCTGCTCCCAGCAGCCCTCAGTCAGAGCAAGAAGCAGCCTGGTAAGTTGCAGAGCTCCCCCCCCCAGCCCCCCCGGTCCAAAACAGTCCAGTGGCACCTTTAAGACCAGGTTTTATTCAGGTACAAGCTCTCGCTCCTCTGCTAGGACAGATCTGCACGTCGCCCCCCCCCCCAAAAAAGGTAGCAATCCAAAACAGTCCAGTGGAGCCTGAGCGGTGGGTGTTGCCTTCTGACACACTTCCAGTGATGTCAGGGGGTGTGGCATATGCAAATAAATGTGCTAATAAGTTATGCGAATGAGCTCCTGCACCTTTTTTTCTACGAAATGACCCCTGCAATAACTGATATCTGCAGAGGGCACCATCATTCCTCCAACAATGTTCTCCTCCACTGTAGACATGCAGAAGAGCTCAGCCTCCTGTCTGGGCATCTTATACTCTAAGTGGTTCCCTCCTGGTTCGGAGCCACGAACAGCCAAGTGGGGTGCACCGACCAGGCTCCTCCCTGCCAAACATTTGCAGGGAGGGGCCATGGCTCAATGGTATAGCACCCGCCTGGCATGCAGAAGGTCCCAGGGTCAATCCCTGGCATCTCCCGTGAAAAAGGAACAGCCATCAGGCGATGTGAAGGACCTCAGCCTGAGACCCTGGAGAGATGCTGCCGGTCTGAGCAGACGGTGCCGACCTTGATGGACCAAGGATCTGATTTAGGATAAAACAGCTTCGTAGGTACACGTTCAAGGGGTGTGGGCCATACCCCTGTTCCCTAGGCATGAAGTCTTTGAGAGAAAGATAATGGCACTCCCAAGGGGGTCCCTGTCCCAGTTCCCCATAGCCCCCGTAGCCCTGAGAGCTTGGCCCAAGCCATTTCCCCCTCCCCACAACAGACACGCTGTGAGGTAGGTGGGGTTGAGAGAGCTCTGAGAGAACTGCTCTTGAGAGGACAGCTCTGAGAGAACTTGTGACTGACCCAAGGTCACACCAGCAGCTGCATGTGGAGGAGTGGGGAATCAAAGCCGGTTCTCCCAGATTAGAGTCCTCCCAGTTTAGAGTCTTCGCTCTCCTAACCACTACGCCAAACTGGCTTTTGTAGGATGTCCTCCCCACCCCCGCCCTTGACCCCTCTGAGCACCAGCATGCACCACCCTGCCAGCATGATGTCGCTCTCCTCCATGGGCCAAAGATCTCCCCCTTCCCCAACCCACGCAGGTAAGGGCAGTGGCAGCAGCATTCGGCTCCTGGAAGAGGACTATGCTACCCCCAAAAGGTCTAATTAATGAATTCGTTGATTGGGAATTTAGCTTTTAGCAAGAGGGGGTAACCTGAGATCTGTGTATACAGGGGCCCTTCCCACAGAACCAGGCGGATGTTCAACTAATACGAGTTTTTATTAGAACATAATAGAGGAGTATATATGCACACAGCAGAACACACTTGCAACAACTACGCAACCTGTCAAGTAACCCAAAACCTTTTTTGTCAGGAAGGGAAATAGGGAGCAAGACAAAAATACAAGGAACTGGTCACTTTAGGTAACAGTCTACTCACGAAATGCTATCATCGCATCACTGTCCAGCGCTTTTAAATGCAGGGTTTTTTAATGGTGAAGAACAAGTTTCGGGCCAAACACCCCCATTTAAACGGAACAAAGTTCGAGTCCAGCAGCATGCACACGAAAGCGTCTACCCAGAATTAAACTTTGCTGGCCTTAAAGGTGCCACTGGACTCAAACTTTATTCTGCTGCTTCAGACCCACCTGAATTTACCCCCCATTTAAGGACATGAGACCTACGTGCACTGGACTTTGGTTGGAACGTGCCCAGAATTTTTAGTATTTAAAATGCACAGACTCTCTCCATCCAGCAGGCGTTACTGACACAAGGATCCCCGCTTTCCACTCCGTTCTACTGAAGGATCTCTTAGGGGGAAACCTCTTTGGGGTGCCTGCTCTAGGCCAGTATTGGTTATGAGGAAAGATGTGGCAGTATTACAGGTGGCTCTACCTGCCGCTCTGAAGGCCACAGGACAAACCCTTCCATGCACACGTTGGATCTGGCCCATCGGTTGGGGGAAGCTGAGGTGATTACAGCCAATGTTCCCTCTAAGCTGTAGAGTCTTGTGAACAAAAATTCTACTTTTTGAGCTACTGGCATTAAAGTTGTGAGCAAGTGATTTTTGGCTACTGCATAAATTAGTTTGCTCTGGAGCCATCCTTCCTGAGCTAAGACAGAAATATGTGAGCTGGAGGCTAAAAAAAACTGTGAGCTAGCTCACACTAATTCAGCTTAGAGGGAACACTGATTACAGCTATCCTTTTCCAACAGGCTGTAGAAAATTTATTTATTTCCTTCTGTTTATATCCCACCTCATCCTCACCACAATGCTATGAGGTAGGTTAGGCTGAGAGTGTGTGACAGGCCCACGGTCCTCCAGTCAACTTCCACGGCAGAGTGGGAATCTGAACCTGGGCCCACTACATCATAACCTGCGCTCCCTAGAAAGTAGTCTGTGTCAATCCCAGTAAGCCAACGAGCTCGAGAGATCTGCCAAGGGCAGTGCTTAACGTCTAGCCAAGGGAGGAAAGGATAACTACTGAGGTCCAGCACCATCAAGTGAAGACTTATATGTGCCTTAGAAGAAGAGATTGGACTTATATCCTGCCCTTCACTACCCGAAGGAATCTCAGAGCAGTTTACAATCTCCTTTCCCTTCCCACAACAGACACCCTGTGAGGTAGGTGGGGCTTGAGAGAGCTCTTTCAAGGACTGCTCGTGAGAGAACAGTTCTGAGAGAACTTGTGACTGACCCCAGGGCACACCAGCAGCTGCGTGTGGAGGAGTAAGGAATCAAACCCGTTTCTCCCAGATTAGAGTCCGCACTCCTAACCACTACACCCAACTGGCTCTCAGCTTCACAACTATCCTTTAGGGTTTTGTGCGCCAGCAGAAGCATTTCTCCAGAAGGCTCTGCTCTGAAACTTGTTCTATACATTCCAACTTCCTCCACCAAAGGAACTCAACTAGCTACTCTGAAATTGCCATCTCTGTAGTTACCCTGAACTCATCATCCCACAAAACAGCTGGGCAAGGACGTGTAGACTTTTTGCTTCCCTCACTAAGAACAGAAGAACCAGAACGGGGCTGTGCCCAAGTTAACTCTATTCTATTTCACATCTTTAAAAAAAGACCCAGACAGACAATACTATTTTGCACCTTAAAAAAAGAACAGACAGACGTTTCGAGGCAGCGCAGCTACCTATTAATAGAAAACATTCGGCGCGCTCACATAATAGCAGGGTTCTTTTCCTCTGGATATTCCCCAAGGCTCGTTTGCCCTTGGTTTAAAGCCACAGGTTGCTACGTCCAAAGAAAAAGGGCACATGATTTCTCTTCAAGATGGCATTCCCCAGTTTTACTGTCCTCATGGCGTTTGAAAATATGGGATTATTATGCCGTGGATAAAATTTCAGAGGTAACAGTCAATACAAATCTCTCAGGTAAAAATCCTAACCTTCATTTGAAATGGTTACCTTTTCTTGAACACATGTTTAACTCCGAGTTCTCTAAATTCAATGTTCCTAAAAAGTATTACGATGTTTTTCACCACATGTAATCTATTTTGAAGTTTGTATAAACCTATGCAGTTACCTTGCTGTGTAATATTGTTGCTGACAACCATGAAAGTTTGTGTATTGTTTAAGTTGAAATAAAATTAACAAATTTAAATTTTTTAAAAAAATTAATATCTCCTCAAGGTGCAATCCTATGCAGAGTTACTCAAGTCTTCACTCACTAAAATCCACTGGGAGTTCCAGGCAGTGTTCCTTCTAAGCTGAGTTAATGTGAGCTAGCTCACAGTTTTTTAGCCTCCAGCTCGCACACTTCTATCTCAGCTCAGGAAGGATGGCGGCAGAGCAAACTCATTTATGCAGCAGCCAAATTGCTCGCTCACAACTTTCATGCCAGTAGCTCACAAAAATAGAATTTTTGCTCTCAAGACTCCACAGCTTAGAGGGAGCATTGGCTCCAGGTGGGCGGCCGTCTTGGTCTGAAGCAGCAGAACAAATTTGAGAGTCCGGGGGCACCTTTAAGACCAACTAGGGTTTATTCAAGGTATGAGCTTTTCGCATGCACACGAAAAAGTGTGCCTTGCACCCGAAAGCTTGTTCCTTGAATAAACCTTTGTTGGCCTTAAAGGTGCCACTGAACACACTAAATTTGCTCTACAATCCACTGACTTAGACCCAGGAGGACAGCTCTGGCCACAGGCGACAGCAAACCCTCTGATGCACCAGGTGAAGCCACAGCCCTCTGTCTCTCTCCTCCCACAGGCCTCTCTCAGGCAGTGGAAAGTGCACAGCCCTCCACTGCACAACTTTCTTTCCTGCACAGGTCAGGGCCGCTAAAGGGCAGCCAGAGAAAGCCTTTAACTCTTTGCCGGACAAAAGAGAAACCAAGGAAAACAACAAGGTTTGCAAAGGGAAGTGTCCCCCTCCCCCCATCTTTTCCAGAGGTCATAAAGCCTCTAATGAGGTCTTTACAAAGCCCCTTCTGCTTTTATCAACCAGTTTACAGCTCTTCCCCGCACGCCTCCAAGGTCCAGGGCGACGGTTTATTGCCCCGGGGCAGTGCCAGAGCGAAAGCGGTCTCGTCTGCCGGCGGGGAGGGCCGGCTTCGGCTAAACGGGGCGGCTGCAGGTCAGGGGGCGGAAGGCGGGGACGGCGGGGCGAAACGCGCGCGGCGTCCGGACCTCTTCTTTTTTTGTGCTCTGCGGGAACGGAGGAGCTAGGGAAGAGCTTGAAGCGCCGGCGTGCGGGGCTGGTGGCGACCAAGTGCACGCTAATTCATGCCATACTATGTTCCCCGTTACTATGTAGGGGTGCGGAAGCCGGACAACGAAGAAAGTTCGCAGGGAGAAAGTTGGTGCGTTTGAAATGGGGCGTTGGAGGAGACTTACGGGTCCCGCGGGCCGCCAGAAAGACAAATCCGTGGGGTCCTAGACAGTGTTCTCTCTAAGATAAGTTAGTGTGAGGCATCTCAGTTTTTTTAGCCTCCAGCTCCCACATTTTTGTCCTACCTCAGGAAGGAGGGCTCCAGAGCAAACTAATCTATGCACCAGCCAAATCGCTCGCTCACAGCTTTAATGCCAGCAGGTCACAAAGAAGAGTTTTTGCTCTCAAGACTCCACCGGCTTAGAGGGAGCATTGGTCCTAGACCAACTCAAGCCTGAACTCTCCCGAGAAGCTAAAATGACTGCGCTCGAGGCTGTACTTCGGTCACATTGGGAAAAGACAAGAACTGCTGGGAAAGGCAATAACGCGAAGAAAAGTTGAAGGCACCAGGGAAAGAGGAAGACCCAATATGAAACGGGTTGACTCCGTCCAAAGAATCCACGGTCCTCCGTTTGCAGGACCTGAGGAAGGCTGTTAGCGACAGGGCATTTTGGAGGACTTTAATTCACAGGTCAAGATGGGTCGCTGTGTTAATCTGCCCGCGGCAGGAGAAAAGAGTAGGAGTCTAGTCGAATCTTAAAGACTACCAGAACCTTAACTCTTTGCACGAAAGCAACACATTTTTCCAAAGGAAAGTCCCCCCCCACCACCACAAATCTGGTAGTCTTTAAGGTGGTACTGGACTCTTTTTTTTCTTTCTATTAATTCATAGTGTCGCCCTAAATTGGAAACGTCTTGACGGCACTGAACAAACACACGGAGGAGGGGAAGGGCTCCGTGCATTGTGCTTGGCTACTCTGCGGGACGGGGCACTGCAAGCCGGCGAGGGGGTTTCTCCGACGCGTCCATTTCCCCGCATTCATAAATGCCCCGTCATTGCCCTGACTTGCAGGGCCGGTCAAAAGGAAGGGAGGTGGCCGCATTCCTCCGGTCTTTAGAACCTTGGGAGTCCTGGGAGCGCAGACGCGCACGCAGAGCCGCCCGCAAACGAGGGAGTAAACTGCAGTGAGCTCAGCGGGACCGACTCCCGCCTCTGTGTCTGTGCGCGCGCGCCTGCGTCCACGGCTGCAAGCGAACAACGTGCGCCTGTGCGTGCTTCCTCGGACGTCCGTCTCCCGAAGGTTCAGCGGACCTTACGCCAAAGTAAAGCGTGCACAAGGTTGCATAATGCAACTCGCATTCATAGATATCCCAATCATTCGCGCTCGGGCTGTAATCACACACACAGACGCACACACAAATGCAAGACTAGACTTTCTTCGAAGTAAACATGCACAGCACGGCTGAGATGTGCTACAGATTGGGCTCCAGGCAATGCTCCCTCTAAGCTGTGGAGTCTTGTATGCAAAAATTCTAATTTGTGAGTTACTGGCATTAAAAGTTGCGAGCGCGCGATTTGGCTCCTGCATAAATTAGCTTGCTCTGGAGCCATCCTGACTGAGTGTGATCCAGAGGCTAAAAACCTGGGACCGACCTCACACTAACTCAGCTTAGAGAGGACAGTGGCTCCAAGGGGTACCAAGTTTTCCTAGCGGCGAGTTGCACAACCGCTCCTCCCCGCGCAGACTTTCTCCAAACCAACCCACCCAAATCTGCACTGCCTTGCCGGGCGGGACCCCAACGCAACCCCCACCTTGGCGAGCTCGGGCAAAGGCGCCGATCCGAGCGCGTCCCCTCGGAGAGCGCCCGGGGCTCGACCAGCCGGACGCGCGTCCGGAGCCAGCGGCGGGTGCAGCGCCCCCCGCGCCGGCCAGAAGGGCGCTGTGACCCCGCAACAAAGAGACGCCGAGTCGGGGAAGGGGTGAGCCGAACAAAGGAGCGCGGAGGGGGGCGCTTTCGCCCGAGGCGCCAGGGCCTCACCTTACCGCCGCCCCGCCCTTCCTCCTGCACGCGGGGAGTCCTGCCGAGGAGCCGGGGTCCGGGGCAACGCTGGCAGTGGCGAGAGACTGGTGGGGTTGGCCGGCTGGCGTGGCGCTTAAGTAGGCTGCCGAGAGGAGAGGCGCCTCTAGAGGGTGGCTCCTCCCTCTGGCCCTGGAGAAAGTGCCGCCGCCGCTCGCTAGCCAGCCAGCCAGCCAGCCAGCCAGCCGCGTGCGGCGCACTCGCCTGCTCGCCCAGCCCTGCTGGGGCAGCGGCGTCTTGTGCGGGCCGGCCAGGGACGAGCCGGATGGCCCGGTGGAGTTGCACGCGGGGCTGAGCCGGGCTTTGGCAGAGCGCGTCGCCGTCCTTGCTGGCGTCTCTCTCAAAGGCTGCTCCCGTTGCGAGGCGCCCTGGGCTGCGCGCTCCCGTTGCCCGGGCTTCAAGGCGCCGGGCCAAAACCTCTTCCTAAGCTCGCCCGCACCCGGTGGGTCCCTGTCTTCGGAGGTGCGTCTTCCGTGTGACGCGACAGTGCCGTCTAAGTAGGGAGGCCGGCCGCCAGGTGGGACCTGGGAACCCCCCGGAATTACAGCTCATCTCCAACCTACAGAGATCAGTCCTCCTGGAGAAAAATGGAGGCTTTGGAGGGCGGACTTTATAGCACTCTACCCCACTGAGGTCCCTGTCCTCCCCAGGCTCCATTTCCTAATTTCCAGGAGTTTCCCAACCTGGATTTGGCAGCCTCCCCCCCCCCCATTGCCCTCCGGGCGGGGGGCTGGCAACCCCACCTTAGCAAAAAGGTAAAGGTTCCCTTGCTCGAAAGCCAGTCGAATCCGACTTCAGTGGTGTGGTGCTCATCTCTGTTTCAAAGCTGAAGAGCCAACACTGTCCGAAGACGTTTCCGTGGTCATGTGGCTGGTATGACTAAACACCAAGTCATGCCGGCCACATGACCACAGAAAAGTCTTTGGAAAGCGCTGGCTCTTCGGCTTTGAAACGGAGATGAGCACCACAACCCTAGAGTCGAATTGGACTGGCTTTCGAGCAAGGGAAACCTCTATCTTTACTGCTGCTTTGTAATTGCATATGTATGGTGGTGGAAAGTGCCTCAAGTCGCAGCTGACTTATGGTGACCCCGTAGGGTTTTCAAGGCAAGAGATGTCCAGAGGTGGTTTGCCACTGCCTGCCTATGCATAGCAACCCTGGACTTGGTGGTCTCCCAGCCAGATACTAGCCAGAGCTGACCCTGCTTAGCTTCCAAGATATGACTAGATCCAAGATGACTAGAGGTGGTCTCCCTACCTAAGGGACCGCCTTTTCCCGCATGCTCCCCCAAGGGCACTACGGTCGGGGAATCAAAATCTCCTGGATATTCCAGGCCCCAGGAACATCAAACTGGCTGTCACCAGGGCCAGGGCGTTTTCGGTGGCGGCTCCTACTTGGTGGAACGAGCTCCCAAATGAGATCCGGGCCCTGCGGGACCTTGTGCAGTTCCGCAGGGCCTGTAAAACGGAGCTTTTCTGCCAGGCTATCGAGTAGGAGCCGCCGCCACCATTATTCCACCATCTTTCCATCACCACACTTTTACCACCGCTTGAGCGGGTATCATCGGAGGTGCGAGACGTCCCTGGTGGATGACAGGGCTGCGGGGACATATATTGCTGTTGTTCTGCTATAACATCTCCAGAACACCATCTTAGTTTTTATGATTGGAGTGATTACTGGAGCACCGATATTTTATTAATTGTATTATATTGTATTACTGTAATTTTATATTGTTTTATTGTTTTAACCTGGCATTTACGCCCTTGTTAGCCGCCCTGAGTCTTTGGGGAGGGCGGGATATAAATCTAAAAGATAGATAGATAGATAGATAGATAGATAGATAGATAGATAGATAGATAGATAGATAGATAGATAGATAGATAGATAGATAGATAGATAGAGTTTTACGGGTGCCACGGGCCGCCAAAAAAGACAAATAAGTGATTTCTACGTTGAGCCAAGCCTGAATTCTTCATAGAAGCTAAAACCTCAGTTTAGTCAATCGTACTTTGGTCACATTATGAGAAGACAAGAGTTGCTGGAAAAGGCAATCGTGCTAGGAAAAGTTGAAGGCAGCAGGAAAAGAGGAAGACCCATCATGAGATGGATTGACATAATCAAGGAAGGTCAGGACTGCATTGCAGATAGGAACTCACAAGTCCCAGGATTCTCCACACAAACATTCCCAGCACATAGATGATGAGCATAAAACTAGCATTTTAATTGTTGAAATGTTTTCATGTTCACCTCTTTGGGGACCCTGACTGGGTGGAAATGCAGCATTAAAAATGTTTTAAATAAACAATAAAACAGACAACTGCCATGACAGGAAGAATAATTCTTATCCTGTGATGTGACAGATTTATTTTTGTGTGTGTGAGGGATTGCTGCATTTTTGTGAGCACCTCTCTGTAATCTAAAGTGGTATGGCTTCACTTCAGTGAGAATTTGGCCTGGAAACTGGAACGCCACCCCCCCCCAACTGAAATAAAGGAAAATGTACTTTTTAAAAATGACAGGAAGGGAGGCAGGGAAAGGGACAGAGAGCATGAAAGAAAAACAAATCTTCGTTTGATTTATTTCTCACTTTTTATATGCTGAAGTGCACAAACTCCTTACTCTCCACTGGACAAAATGCCTCCAGATGCACACTGGAATATATCCCACATCTTCCGAGTCCAGCGATGAGACTAGTGGTTCTCCACTGACACCAGAAGAAAGGCATTTTAGTGCCAGGTTTGTGGCCCTGCCCCTAAACCAGGAAGCCCCCCCAAAAGGAGGGCTTGTGTGCTTTGCAAATAGCACCGGGGATCACTTAACCCGATTTGTAGTCACAATAGCAAGAGTGATCGGTAAATAGCAGCCAGTGCTTCCTGGCAGTCTTATTTGTAACAAGAGACGTTTTCATTAGTCTAACTAATTCCTTCACAAGTTGACAAGAGTCCTTCCTACCAGCTTTCAGGGTAGGAGGAAGGTTGCCAAAAGGCTTGAAGTTCTTAGTTCCTGACGTATGAAGTCATCAGTTCCTCAAAAATCACATGATAAATTATGAAATTTGGAAAACCTTGCCTTTGGGATTGTGAGTATTGCAAATGCATCACATTCACGCTTTCAGTTTTTCCGGAGGCATAAATCAGATTATAGTTTAGCACTTTATAGTTAAGATTTGAGGGCCGAGCTAGACATGACAGCGTCAACAGGTCGTCCGACCCTTGGACGCCAGCAACATTTTCAATCAATTTAAAAGAATTCCAGGAGGGCCCGATCCTTATCAGACCCTCATTGTAGCATGCTGAGGTGCTATCTCCCCCCCCCCATGCTTTTCAAGTGCAGGTTTGCCGTTTAGGATGCTGTCGAAGCCACCAGTTCTACAGCTGGATGCCCACATTTAATCGCTAGCCGTTTACTCAGCTTCCTTGAGAATGGTGGTCTGGCCACAGCAATCTCTGCTGTTGAGAGTTAGTTTGTTGTAGTGGTTAAGAGCGGTGGACTCTTAGCTGGGAGAACCGGGTTTGATTCCCCACTCCTCCCCATGCAGCTGTTGGTGTGACCTTGGGACAGTCACAACTTCTCTCAGAGCTGTCCTCTCAAGGGCAGTTTCTGTCAGAGCTCTCTCGGCCCCACCTACCTCACAGGGTGTCTGTTGTGGGGAGGGGAAGGGAAAGGAGACTGTAAGTCGCTCTGAGATGCCGAGTGAAGGGCAGGGTGTAAATCCAATCTCCTCCTCCTCTTCCCCCCACCTTACAGGCTTGATTACTTGACTAATGCACTCTGCAAGGGGCTGTCCTTGAAGGTTGTCTAGAAGATTCCTTAGCCTGAAATGGAAAAGTAAGACTCCTAGCCCAGGTGGTCTACAGGTTCTCCCCAACACTGGTGATTAAAGATATGTCCTGGCTGGCTGCTTGTTTTCAATTCCAGTTCAAGGTGGTAAGAGTTGTGTGCCTAGAGGATCACCTGCCTCCGGATAGGCCTGTCCTGTCTGGACATAGCAGGCTCCATCTCAGGCTGTTCTTTCCGTTCTCCCACCTTCCGATGTGAGGTGTGGGGCCGCAAGGGGGAGGGCCTGTACATGGCATCGTCACTGAGTATCTTTGGGCACCAGACCCAAGACTAATCTGTTAGAGCTGGCTTGTAGTTAATTTCGGTGGATTGTTTTCCCCCCTCAGTAGCTATATTTTTTGTCTTGTTCGTTTTACTGTTTGCCTTAAGTTTCTGCTCCTGTTTTAACTTCGGGGGGGGGGGGATGTATTGTTTTCAGTTGATTTCATATTATTGCTGTAGAAAAGAGCAAGATCTGAAGAACTAATCTGTTAGAGCTGGCTTGTAGTTAATCTCGGTGGATTGTTTCCCCCCCTCAATAGCTATATTTTCTGTCTTGTTCATTTTACTGCTTGCCTTAAGTTTCTACTAGTTTGTTAGTCTTTAAAGTGCTCCTGGACTCTTGCTCTTTTCTCCTGCTACAGACAAACACAGCTACCCATCTTGACCTATCTTCATGTTATTGCTGGCAGCTTTGTACTAAGGTATGATTTAGTTTTGTTATAGTTTTTGTGGACCACTGCTGTGAAATATTTGAAAACAACTGAAATGATTTTTTTTAATGCACTGTATTATTTTCTGAGGAAAGTTTTTAAAAAGTGAGTTGTTTTTTCTACAAGTCTTCAGTGTCTCTCCTTAACCCTGAGAAATTAGTGAGATTTTGGTGACTCTCGTAAATGGTTTTGAGTTTCACGTTATTATATCTGTTGTGTGTGTGTGAAGTGCCGTTAAGTCACAGCCGATTTACGGCAACCCCAGAAAGGGGCTTTCAAGGCAAGTGAGAAGCAGAGGAAGTTTGCCATTGCCTTCCTCTGCAGAGCCTTCCTTGGAGGTCTACCCTCCAATTACTGACCCTGCTTAGTTTCTGAGATCTGACAATATCGGGCTATATCATGCTGCCTTCCCTCTCTGTTATATCTGTTACAGGTGGAGAATTAACACAGACATACAGTGAGTTGCTCAAAGTCATTTGGTGGCTGAAGTGGGATATGAACCCAGTTCTCACACATCAATCGCCCTGTTTCATTAAGACAGCACTCTGTGCGTATTTACTTAGAAGCGAGGCCCATCAGGTTCAGTAGGATTATTTCGCAGCAGGTGTTCTCAGGGATTACAGCCTTCAAAGCATCAACTCAATGTGGATGCCTCACCTCTTGATTCTAAATAACATTCTGCAGGATTTTTTGAAACTGCAGCCTTTTCTGTTTGAGTCATTTGAACTTTCCGTCGTCTTCTCTGAGGTAAACGCATCTCTGTCGTAACACCTCAAATTTCTGCAGTACCTCTCAAGTTCTAAAAATGAATGCGCACACCCATCTTTTCACACCTCCAAAGAAATTAATGCTGTGGGAAGGATGGCTCGGCCTAAAATGAAGAGAAAGCTTCTGTCATAAGGAACCAACAATAGAGAGGAAAAAGGGATTATCATCAAGGGGGAAGAAACCGCCTGAACGTTTTC